CAGCGTGGTACCAGCGGTGCCGACCACCCCCACCAGAGGACACTGGAGGATGCACGGGTGACTGGCAAATGAGCGCAGGCGCACAGGCCGCACAGAGAGGGGATCTAGAGGGGTCCGCAGAGCGCAGCCCACAACCCTCACATGGCAATGCAGGAGAATCATCCCTGCGATCCATGGCACACTCCCAACAGAAAGTCCCCCAGACCGGAGACCACCACAGGCAAGAGAGAGAGAGACCCCACAGTACTCACGACCCCAAGTCACTGTCTCAGCCCAGCACCAGCCATCCGACCCTGCAGGTGGGAGGAGAGCTGCCCCGTGTCTGACTTCCACCGCGGTTCAGCCCGAAAGAAAGACCCTCCCCATCCGCCCGAGGCTTAGGAAAGCCCGGGCGGAAGTGACATAGGGAGAAAGGGCATCTGCCCATATCCAAGAGGGCGGCCGCAAATAGACCGGGGCCTCGAGTAGCGGCCGTGGCCGCCGAACGAGCGGCATCGGCCGCCACCGCCCATACGAAAGGCCACAGGGGCTTCCCAGAGCCCAAGTCCCCACCTAAGCACCCCGCACATAAGCCCCATCCAGGGCTCCCACAGCCAAACAGCCAGGAGGGGCAGCAGCCCACAATCAAAATGGCGGCAGCGATGCTGCCCGGAGGCCGCGACAGGTCCCCCCAGAGCCCAAGTCCCCACAGGTGCCATCCAAGACCCCCCTGGAGCCCGATCATCATGAGGTGGGGGGGGGGAGGCTGCAGCTGTTACACAGAGAACAGCGCAGCCCCCAAGCTTACCTTAGCTCTTGGTCCCCGCGACACATCCACCGCAGAACCCCATACATACCCCCGTGGAGGGAAGGCCGGATTCCTCACAAGGACGAGCAGGGAGGCGGCAGAAAACAACGCCCCCCGACCGTAGTCGCGGCGCCGCAGCCTACGGGGAGCGCTGTGACAGGTAGGCCATGACCCCCTGTCATATGCGCCCCCCGGGACGAATCCGTAGGCGTCAGGGGGGGACCATGTCGCAGCCGACCCACCGTGGCAGAGTCTGCATGCACTCGCCGGTCACCCAGGGGAGACTTCAAGGATCTATGGTCATCCAGCATGTCGCCCTGGTGACACTTGCTAGAAGAAAAAACTAATCAATCAATAAATCAAACGGAAGAAAGGAAAAAAATTTCCAGAGAAATTTTTTTAGCTCCTGACTCCTGACGCTAGGCAAAAAACTGGAGACTTGTCAGCAAGTGAGGGGTTGGGCCACCAGCAGGGGCCGCCTCTAGGCTGTCTTGTTTTTTAGTTATGTGCCTAGCGTCCTACTCCTGCAGGTGGCGATATACCCTACCATTCAGGCTCTACGATCTGTTGCCGTGTCTAGGGCTGCAACAACTAATCGACATAATCGATTATAATCGATTATTGAAAAAGTTGTCAACTTTTTCAATAATCGATTAATCGGCTTCCGATCAGTTGGCCTTGTTCACAGCTCCACACGCTGTGCGCCGCACCTCCTCCCCACCTCACGCTCGCCGCTGCCAGACCCGCTCGCATCCACGCTCTTCACGCCGCACCTCCTCCCCGCCTCACACTCACCGCCCGCCCACATCCACGATCGGCACAGGGACGCGGGGAGATGTAGTAAGGAGGAGCAGGTGTGGGGGGATGACAGCCGCCGATAGACAGGTCCGATCTCAGAAGCAAGTTGCTGGAAGACTGCTCAGGTAAGCCTGCACTTTCCCACACATGGTGCTCTATAATGTATTGCTGGGATTTGTATTCCTCTATAGCTGATGGTACATTGTGCTGTATATTATACATAGGAATACAAATACCAGCAATACATTATACACTGTATGTATAATGTATTGCTGGGATTATTTGTACTCCTCTATAGCTGGTGATATTCTGCATTGCGCTGTATAGAGGACTACAAGTCCCAGCAATAATACATTATACAGGGCAATGCGGAATACCACCAGCTATAGAGGACTACAAAACCCAGCAATAGTACATTATACAGAGCAATGCAGAATACCGCCAGCTATTATGTATTATTGCTGGTATTTGTTGTATTCCTCTATAGCTGGCGGTATTCTGCATTGCGCTGTATAATGTGCTTTTGCTGGGTTTTGTAGTCCTCTATAGCCGATGCAATTCTGCATTCATTGCTGTATAATTTTACACTTTCCATTTCACTATATTGCACACCACACTATCTTTTTTCTTTTTTACTTCCACCGCTCCAAGCTTGCTCCTGTGATGGACTACAACCTCAATACAAACTAGTAGTCCTATCACTGGAGCCATTTTTTAAACTTTATTTTATTGTTTATCCGATTAATCGAACTTAATAATCGGCTAACTAATCGATTTTGAAAATAATCGTTAGCTGCAGCTCTAGCCGTGTCCTTCAATGAACGGGAGAGAAAATATTATTATTTTTGTAGCCAAAAACGCATCTAAAAGACTAGCGTGCGTGTGCAGAAACCTGACAGGATCTGCTCTGCATTTGGTGTGAACAAGGCCTTACTCTTGCAGTGGGGGGAGGAGGGCAGCTTCACTGCAGGGGTTAATTTTTGACACGTTTGGAGTTCTCCTTTAATTGATTTTCGTGTTATTTTGACTGACAAACATTTTTCATTATTCCGTTTGATGTCTATTTACCCGACGTGACCCCGTCTTTTATATTTTACCAAAAAATTGGGTAATGATAAATGTTTTATAACATAATGTAGGAAAAATAAAAATTCTAAATTTCCGGTACTTTTTTCATTATATTGTAAAAAATAACACCCCCAGTGGTGATTAAATACCAGCAAAAGAAAGCTCTATCTGTCCCCCAAAAATGGTATAAAATTCATTTCAGTACAGCGCTGCATGACGGAATAAATGTCAGTCAAAGTACCGCAGCGCTGAATACTGAAAAATGGGAGGCGCGTTTGGGGTGCCATTGAAATGAATCATACCACAACACACATCCTGCAGCAGAATTTTTCAGGTTGAAACCAAAAATTACTTTTCAGACCTTTTTTTATATTTTAATAATTGTATGTATTATATTAGACATTTTAATTAGTTTCATGGATGTAAAATAATGTGAATTGTAAAACTGCAATATAATAAAATAGCCAAACTTTTATTTAAAATAAAAAAAAGCCGGTCATCAGTGTAGAGAGCCATGAATACTGGCTGGAAGATTATTTCTCTCACTCTGAGCATGCGGCGATACCTGACATGTGTAGTGCAATCGTAATTTTCATACGTAGGTGCACCCGACTTGCGTTTCTGTTAGTATGCGTGCATTTGCGGGGTCGGGGGACTTAAAAATTTTTTGGGGGATATGTTTTCTTTTATTTAACTTTTATTTTTTTTTCCATCTTCATTGCTATCACATGGGGAAGGGGGGATGGCCCACAAGCCCCTTATGTGATAGCACATTTGAGATGACAGGTTCTCTTTCAGGTGACATTAGGGGTCTACTAGACTCCTAACATCACCTTTCCACTTCACTGGGGAATGACAGCTGCCTGCTTCGTGCAGCTGAATGTAATCACAGCATACAGCGGCTGGAAACAATAGCCAGCCTCTTATTGGATATTTTAAATTACAATAGCAGGCTGGCTATTGCACCCGCCCACTGCCTGCTGCCAATCAGCAGAGGAGGGAACTGAAGGAGAAAGTTCTCCATCAGGTCCTCCTCTGCTGATTGATAGCAGGCAGTGGGCGGGTGCAATAGCCAGCCTGCTATTGTAATTTAAAATATCCAATAAGAGGCTGGCTATTGTTTCCAGCCGCGGATTGGAGACTTGACACCAGTGTTCTATTAATCCCCCAGATTGATAGAACACCGGCAGAAGAGGGGACACGGGGGAGCAGAGAAGGAAACAGGGCGGGCAGAGGAGGAGAAACGAGGCGCGCACAGGAGGAGGAACGGAGCCGCAGTGGAGGTACAGGGGGAGAGGGGGCATGCAGCCACCGCATATGAACAGAAAGGTTTGTTGCACTCCTTACCGGATAATCCCAAATATGGAGAAGGGTGCTTGGAATGACCGCGGATGGCGCCGCCAGTTGCAGATAATAAAGAGATGTCACCAGCACACCAGACTCCTTCAAGGATAGTCAATCGTGAATTTATACAAAACTTATGTCAAATACAGAGGCGCTTTCGGGACCACACAGGATCCCTTCATCAGGCATAGCACTGTGTCCTGTGTGGTCCCAAAAGCACCTGTGTATTTGACATAAGTTTTGTATAAATTCACGATTGGCTATCCTTGATGCAGCACTGCAATCTCTTCTCCATGCTGGTGCTGGTACCAGTGGTCTGTGTCACTGCTGCCTCTGTCAGTACAGGCGGGGAGAGCAACGAGGATTGAAAGGGACACAGACCGCCGCAGCCAGCACAAGTGGGGAGGAGAACGGAGGAGCAGAGTGGTGGCAACTAATCAAAAATCAACTAATCAATTATGAGAATCATTGACAACAATTCTCATTATTGAATATAATCGATTTTATCGATTCGTTGTTTCAGCCCAATTCTGGACAGCAACTACAATCTCACGTTTAGTTTACTAATTTGTATTGAGATTCTAGTCCATCACAGGAGTGAGCTTGGAGCGGGGGCTACTTTACAACACACAAAGGGACCATGGGGAACAAAAGTAGCCCCTCTCCAGAAGGAAGGACAGTGTCAGAGATGATTGGAGGATCTACAGCCGAGTGATACACAAATCAGATTTTTGGTAATAGTTACGGTAGTTGAATGTATTTAAAAGATTGAACTCCGGAGTTTAGTGTCACTTTATTATAACTCTTCTGTATCAGTAAACACACAGAGATCATTTACACTGAGAATAAAACAATATTTCACACACTAATCTCCAACTGTAACTCCTCAATATACACAATATATGGGACTGACACAATATACTACGACTTCACAATGATTTCTGTTCAATCCACAACATCTATTACTGCAGATAGAAAAGATATTCCGGATCCTCATACTCACCACAACTGACTCCTGACACCCCCAGAAGAAGCAGAATGAGGGGGGTCATCTTAATCCAGGAGTTATATATAGGGAGGTTTTAAAAATACCCCCAAAATGATTCTAAGAGAACCTCACAAGTAGAAAAGTTACTGCGTGAGTCATGAACTCTGAACAGGAGTCAGTTCTCTGTGCTGATTGGATGATAAATGTGCGTCATCCAATAAGAAAATGAACACACTGCTGATCAGCTGTTACCGGGCAGAAGACGAGTGATGAGGATGGAAATGTTACACTTAGCCCTCGTTCACACCTGACCGTTTTGTAGCGCGTTCTACGCTTGACGAACGCTCTACAAAACGGTCAAAAATATAAATTGCATTGTAGTCAATGCCCTCGTTCCCACCTAGGCGTATTTCCGCCCGTCCCTAACGCCCTCCAAAAGGCCCACGCCTGAAAAGGTACAGGTACTACTTTGGGCCGTTTTGTTTGCGCGTTTCCATTGGGATACAGCCAAGTAGCCTTCGGAAACGCGCGACGGTCGCGCAACTTTTTTACCGCGAATCACGGCAAAAAAAACACGCGACAGACGCGCATATGCAATACGCCTAGGTGTGAACGAGGGCTAAAGCTAAAGGAACCCTGCGAGTTGTTTGAGAATCACAGTATGAGAAATGGCCGCTCATAAATATACTGCGAGAACAGAAACTGCTTATTACAATCTAATTCAATATTATCCATGTGTCCCCAGTGCTGAGACAGGAGAGGGCAGACCAG